TTCTATAACTTTCTCCATTATTACAGATTCATATACACATACATACACATATGCATGGTACCTGTGAAATACATTTTTGCCACTTTGTTTTACATAAATGGAATATTGTATCTGTTTCTCTGGACCTGTTTTTGTTCCTTTGCTGTTTATCAAGAACAAATTTCCGGGGAAATAGATATAGATCTGGGTCATGCCTTTTAATGACGAGGTAGTATAAAATCACCATACATACTAAATTACACCTCATTGTGTAGACATTAACTTTGTTTTTGAAATTGCCAAATATCTCTTTGTCACTATATCCTTATGTATTGAAACTTTTATTTTTATGGTATAGAATACTAAGAGTGGGGTTACTGAATATGAGGCTTTGTGGATTATTAATTTTAACACATAGCACCAGAATGTTTTTCTAAAAGGCTGTATCTATTTATACTTCCACCAGTGATAGATGAGAGAGCTTCCTTCCTTTCTCATTACCATGCTCATGTTTGCCAATCTGAGTGTGTGTGTGGTGATATTCTATTGTTACATTCACTTGTTTATATTCTATGAGTGAAGTTGAGCATCTTATTAATGTTATTAGCCATCCGTAGTTCCCCTTCTGTGAAATGCACCACCTCCTCTTCTTTTCAGTCCAAGATCAAAGCTACTTTTCTTTTCAAGGTCTGAGAGCAACACAGCAATAGCATGGAAAATTGAAGTGCTCTCTGTGTGGCAGCCTTTTGACGAAAATACAAGCACCATACATAAAATAGTGGTTTACTCACAAAACTCTGGACAATTCTCTGAATTGATTTGAAGCTGGTTAATATAAGTAAAATAACCATTTTCCTGGAGTAAAAACCAAGGAGTTAATCACCTCAAGCCCCTGACAAACACTAATCAATTTTCTGTGTCTATATATTGCCTATTCTGAATATTTCATCTATAAAGGAAATCATACAACATGTTGCTTTTTGTGTCTGATTTCTTTCACATAATTCAAGATTCACCCATTTTGTAGCATGTATAAATTCTTCATTTTTTTTGTTGCTAAATTATATTCCATTGTACAAATACACCATATTTATTTATCTATCAGTTGGTGGGCTTTCGAGTTAATCTAATCTGGGTTCAAATCCAAGTTTCAGCATTGATTACCTTTGTGAAGATGAGTATGTTAAAGTAAAAAATGCTTAAATTCAGTTTTTTCATCCTCAATACACTGAATTATACATATATATATGAGATTGAGTATGATATATCAATACACTGAAATAGACACACACACACTCACACACATACACACACACGCACGCACGCACACACTAGACCTCACAGGGTTTGTTAAGATTAAGTTAAACAATATGTGTAAAATACAGTATCTGGTCCATGTAATCAACATTCATATCAGTCAGGAAATCAGAAAGCATATTAATTATTATAACAGAAAGAATTTAGTATGGGGAATAGCTAAAGACGTTAAAAAAAAAAAGGAACCTTAAGAGAACAGAGAAATTAACTGCAGGAAGTAGCTGTATCAGTAGGGCTGAGGGAAACAGGAAGGTGTTGGGTGGGTTATCAGAGCCCAGACGCTGGGAGGGGACCTCACAGAGCTGAGATCCAGACAGCTCAGGGGAGGATTCTGCTTGTTTGACTCTGTTGTCTTTTAAAACGTTGTTTTTGCTGCCGCTAGGGAAATGATGTGGGGAGGGAAATGCTGAAGAAACAGTAAGCAAATAGGATGGAGTCGGCCTGCCTGCCTTCTGCCTTCCGTTCTCTTACCAGTGCCTTCTACTAACAGAACCTAGAAAGAAACAATCTGGCAAGAGAGAAAAGTAGATTTCAGGGTCTCTGCTGAGCATAGAATGAAGAGTTTGGAACTGAGAAAAGCTAGTTTAATAAACCGGCATCGTCCACTCGTTTGACCATTCTACATCTTTACACCTTTCTATGCATCTTTGGATTTCCATAAAGCAAAAGCTATGCTATTGTCTAGAAAGATGAAGCAAGCAACTATCCATTCTTTGCTTTCTCCTAGATCTAAAACAGAGAGACACGAAGTTCCAACCAAAGCGACAATTTCCAGAAAGAGTTAGTATTAATTTCTAAGTGATTTCATTACTCCTCAAATTCTGTCACAGTCCTGCTTGGAGATTGGTAATATAAAGTCTAAAGGGTAAAAGTGCCATGATCTAATAATCTTATTTTAATAAGGTGAGAAAAACAGAAAGAAAATAAATATAAATTAGCTAATATATATTACTACAAATATACCTGTAAATAACAAGAAACACTACTCTTGTCCTCATTTCTGAAACTAATCACAAGATCATGGTTAACATTTCCAACTTTCTTCTTTTCATGTGTATTCCACGTCCCCCTTGTCCTCAGCTGACTACGTTTCTTCACTAGTGGGCTTATCTAAATTTTTGTTTCTGAAGGATCTGAATCCTCAGTAATGGGAATTTGTGTAGTTGCTTAGTTTTCTAAATGCAGTGGCATGATCTTGGCTCACTGCAGCCTCGACCTCCAGGGCTCTAGCAATCCTCCCTCAGCCTTCTGAGTAGCTGGTACTACAGGCGCATGCCACCATGCACAACTAATTTGTGTGTATGTGTAGAAGCAGTATTTTACCATGTTGCTCAGGCTGGTCTTGAGCTCCTGGGCTCAAGTGATCCACCCACCTTGACCTCTCAAAGTGCTGGGATTACAGGCAGGAGCCACTCATACACTTTATGTATGCCAGGCATAGGTGCTCAGAGAATCCAGTCAGTGTGTTCTCTGCCTCACTCACTGTTTAGAAGCTACTCAAGTTCCCTTTGGTAATCAACATCAACTGTTCCTTTTTTTTTTTTTTTTTTTTTAAGACAGAGTTTTGCTCTTGTTACCCAGGCTTGAGTGCAATGGTGCGATCTCGGCTCACCACAACCTCCACCTCCTGGGTTCAGGCAGTTCTCCTGCCTCAGCCTCCTGAGTAGCTGGGCCTACAGGTGCGCACCACCATGCCCAGCTAATGTTTTGTATTTTTAGTAGAGACGGGGTTTCACCATGTTGACCAGGATGGTCTTGATCTCTTGACCTCGTGATCCACCTGCCTTGGCCTCCCAAAGTGCTGGGATTACAGGCGTAAGCCACCGTGCCCGGCCTCTCATGTGCATCTCTTAAAAGCATGTCTACTTGATGATTAATTGCTTGCCAAACTTATGGCTTGGTGGGCCATATAACACCCAGTTTATGAGGGGAAGTTCAGATTGCACAGTTATTTTAATGGTCCTCAGTGACGGTTTCAGGCTCTACAAAGATAAAAAACACTCCAGTTAACTGTTCCTCAAAAAAAGAAGCTAATATGTTGAAGACATAGATTTGCTCCCAAATCCTAGAGGTCTGCATTGTAATCCTTCTACCAGGGCTTGGCAGAGACTCCATGTGGTGCCCCTGTTTACCACAGATACTTAAGGTCTTAAGAACTGCTGCTGATCTTCAAGGGGAAGAGTAGTTTGCACTGCTGTCTGGACTTGCTACAGAGCCTTCACTTTCCCTGGTCTCCACTCCAATTTGGCAGTTTTAGATGTGACTCACTAAATGGAAATGGTAGCTGGAAATAAGATACTTGCCTGCTTTGTGCTAGTCCTACCAGTGGAGTATGGCCAGGCTTGCTCTGGGAGTGTTGAAGGAAGCCCGAGCACTGCCAGGACAAAACCTATAGAAATGACAAGCAAATAGGGAGACCATGTTCCTTCTCTTATTTCTGCCTTTAAGTCTATCTTAGCTCCCTCATTGGTGGACAGGAAAGCAGCTAGAAGGGGGCAAGATTATTTGCAGAGTTGCGTCCTCAGTATCACAAAACTAAGTCAGAAGGTTAAGATAGGAGATGACATGGAGTAACTTACTAACTAGCACAGAATGAAACTGATCATCAACTTACTCTACTGCACAACATTTATAAAAGCATCTTAAACTGGCTTATTTTTCATATTACAGAAGTTGTGTGTATTTATTGTGGAAAAATTATTTTAAAAATAAAAATTATTTATGATCGTACCATTTCTAAATTTTGCTTCTACTGCCCTTGCTATACACACACACACTGACACATTTGGAATGTTTTAAATGTTTTCAATAAGTTGCATTAATAAATAATACTGTGCTAAATATCTTTGTTGAAAATTGTTTGCAGTTATTGATATGCTAAATTGTAAAGAAATGTCCACTATACTCTTATTACATTGTGTTTGAAACTTAGAGATATTTACTCTCTATAAAAATTCTTTTGAAAGTAGTATTTGCCACATGAAGAAAAGCGATTTCTTAGAGATATTTACTCTGTATATAAGAAAAACAAAATTTTAGAGACATTTACTCTCTATATAAGAAAAGCAAAATCTTAGAGATATTTACTCTCTATATAAATTATTTTGAAAGTAGTATGGCCACATTTAAAAAAAGCAATTTCTTGAATAGAGGTTTAGATACAAACTTCCTCTTCTCTCCCTTCCTCTCTCTTTCCCTTCCTTCCTTCCTTCTTGTCTTTCTCCTCCCTCCATTCCCTCTTTTCCTTTATTCTTTCCTTCTTTTATCATGTTATGGTGTTAATATGAAGGCATTACTTGGATTATTGCACATGCCTTTCTGGAGCAGAAATTATAACTAAAACTGTATATGAGGAGAGTTTTTGAATGTGGGTAGTGAGGAAACAGCTGGGATGTAGACTGGAGGAAATGGCAAGGACATTCAACACAGATATAAATGGAATTGCTTAGCAGAAAAACTTGAAATCTCTTATGCTAGGAACACAAATTTGAATCAAACATATATATATATTTTTTTTTCTTTTAAATATAAAATGCTAAATCTTAAAACCATCTGTGCTCTTTCTGAAAGTTTAAAACTTGAATTTAGAGAAGTCAAATTGAAAAAGTCTAGGGATGCTGTTGTGTTGCCAAGCAACATTACTAATCTAAGATCTCACAATCAGGTGTCATAAAAAATTTGGTCACAATAAATATGTTCCTAGAGCAAGTGAATCAGCATCAGCTATTTCAGGAGAATTTGTAGGGAGCCCAGAAAGTCTCTCATGGGGATGAAATTATCTTCAGGCTATTTTGCCTTTCTTTCACTATGCAAACTCTTTTACCTCAACTCAGTGGTCCTCAAGTTAGACATAGTCAAGGAGATAGAATGTATCCTATTCCATCCTATGAAGGTCCACATAACGAAATGAGACGATCACCTCCATATGTAGAGACTAGAAACCCATGCCCTTATTCAGAAGATGGAAGCCCATGGCTAGAATCTACTAATTGGGACGTGGGTGTCCCGTCTGGATCACCACATCAGACTGAAGAGCAAGAAGAGGAGGAGAAAGTCTGCTTGTGCTCTAGTTCCTGGAAATGTTCCATTTAAATTCCAATATTTCTTTCCCTTCTTCTCCAAATATCAGTTCTACCTGTAGTTATTTTTCTTTTGTTTTCCCTGCACCAAAAGAACTGTTCCAAAATGAAATATGTTGAAGACAGAAATTTATCGTTCTCTCTAATGAGTCTGTTCAAAGTGGAACTTCTGAGATTGTAAGGAAATGGTTCAAAATTGCTAGTTGGGCCTCCTCCCCACCTATGAATACATATTTTTTTTTAAAAGCCAAAGAACTTTAAGCTTTGATTTTCTAAGGAGTTAAGGAGAATTGACGAAGACAACCCAGAAGAAAGTCCTCCTCTCTGACAAGAATGAGAAGCCTAGAATGGATAATAATACTAACTTCTAAAAATTTGTTTGGAATGCATATACCTTTCCTTGTTGTTCTTGAATGAAGATGTCAGCATAGAACGTTGTGATTGGATTTAACCAAGTAGGGAAGGTCTGTTATCTACCAAAAAATTTAAATTAAACGTGGAAAATATTTTTGGGTTTTTGTCTTTGAGAAGGTAGGATCCTTTAATTTTTATTCTTCTTCTCCCATTCAGATATATACAGCTATTTTCTATAAGGCTAAGTCATGTTATTTGTACTAGCTATTATAAATTTGTGTGTACATTGCTTATATATGATAGGGCTATATTGTCAATCTGTTACTGTTGATTATTATATCAAATTATAGAAATGGTATGATACTCCTGTATTCCTTTAGTGTGCCATTGTAGAACATAATTTGGTGTAATTTTTTGAATTTTAAAAAAGTGTTTCAATACAGGTACTATGAATTTATTATTTATGTTAGTGAGGTACTGAAACTTATTTAATGCCAAACCAAATACTAAACTTGAAATTATAAGAGTTATAGTTTTCAGATTATTTAGGAGATGTTTGCTATTTCAAATTGCTCATCTTCTCAAATAAGTAATTATTTATCTGATTTTTTTGTAGCAGAATTTTGTAACACTGTGTAATGATTTAAACCTTATACCAGCTGATACTAGAAAACAAGGAATCATTAGAAACACTTAAGAAAAAAGTTATTCTGCCTTTGTAGCATTCGAAGATGTAAATGGTTAATTTCCTTCTAGTTTTTAACTATCTTTAACCCTTTTGATCATTACAAAATATCTTTTGTTTTCTCTAGTAACAAATTTTTATATTCTCCTATGCTATACTCTATGATTTTTATATATTTCTATGCAAAAACTATGTATAAAATACTCTATGTAAAATGCTATTGATCTGAAATACTACATGTAACCTATGTGTATATAAATATTATGTATAATACTACATATGTAATATGTATGGATAAAAAATAATCTTTTCATTTAATTTTAAAGAGTAGTACTAGTTTCTTATGTGAGTCCAATGCCATATTAATAGATCTATTTGTGGTAATCCAGTAAGTCACAAACAATGAAATATGTACATTGGTGGCTACTATGTATTTTTGCCCCATTGTAAATATATTTGTCTCAACAGTATTATGTAATTGTGGTTATTGTTTTTAAACACTTGCTTCTGTTTCTTTGGAAAACATTTTTTGTTGTTGTTTTTTAATGTAGCTGTAGTCAGGCATATGGGCCAAATTACAAGTTTTGTCTTAATGAGATTTGCACTCTTTTTGAAATATAAAATTAATGCTCCGTAGGAAATAAAAAAATTGTAGTGGTTTAAACAATAATACTTCTGAAGAGGAATCATAATGATGTTTGGTAAAATAGCTGGATCTAATTTAGGATGTTTATTTTGGCAAGTATACCTTCAAAATATTAATGTTTCCAAATTTGTGGTTATTTTTAGTAAAATCCTGTGTACATTGTATTAGAGGAGAATGGTTAAACAACAATATTGAATAAGTGCAAAGCATTGCTGTGATTCTGGAAACCATTTTAAAATTTGACCTTACTTAAATGAACAATGTTATCTAAAGAAAACTCATAGTGTCTGAGAATTGTAAATGTTTGTAAATGTACTTCTTAATGCACCTCGTATGATTCACTAATACCTCAAATTTGTTTTTATATGGCTTATCCAAAAATATAAATCTAGGACTTAGATAGATAAGCATGTGGAAAAATCATGCCTAACATCATATAAATCTATAATGAAATATGAATCATTGGAGTCTTTAATCAGTCACAAGCACTCAGAGGACAGAATAATTATTAAAAGCACTAACCTTGGATCGGGTAGGCTGGCTTCAAATTGTGCTTTTGCCATGTACAAGCTGTGTAACCTCAGGAAAGTGATTGAATCTCTTTGTGCTTTAACTTATTATATGTAAAATAGGAAAAATAATAGTATCTGATCTTGTAAGAATTAAATGAGCCAATACATTAAAAGCACTAAGTCTGGCATAAAGTAAGTGCCATGAAAAGATAAGCTACTTTTCTGGTTACTGTTAACTTAGCACCCTTCTAAGCATTATGAGAACTTTAAAAATGCTTGCTTTCAAGGAAGCTTAAAATATAACACAGGAGATAAGAATTATAAATAAGATACAATAGTAACAAACAATATTTTCATGTATTATTAATCTTCTACTTTTAAGATGACATTATTTCACACATTTCTCATCTTCAATGTGGTTATAGCCTTTACAATTTCTAATACCAGCCTTGTGACTTGGGAAAGGTCACTTAACCATTCTGTGACTCAGTTATTTTGGGGATTAATGAGTTAATAAACGTGTAGAACTTAGAGCAGTGCCATGCATATGGTAAATTCTCCAGGAGTATTAGCTATCATTATCATAATCATATTTTACATTTTACATAAGGTTATAGTCTTTGCAGTTTCAATTCAGTGGTACACATCCTTACTGAGTGCCTAAAATGACTGAGGCACCACTAGGAAAAGTATGCTAAAAGAAATTTAAAAAGCAGCTTCAATTAACAGTCATAATATTTATTAACAATCTTCTGTTACCCACTGCATACTGTTGCAAACTCTATACCATGAAGAGTCAAAGCAAGAGCAAGTGAGAAAGAGAGAGGTTCTAATAAAAAGAAACTTATAGTAGAAAGGAACTAATATATATACATATTTTTTGAGATGGGGTCTCGCTGTGTCGCTAGGCTGGAGTGCAGTGGGCGTGGTCTCCACTGACTGCAACCTCCATCTCCGGGGTTCAAGCGTTTCTCCTGCCTCAGCCTCCCAAGTAGCTGGGATTATAGGCGCCTGCCACCATGTCTGCCTGTTTTTTGTATTTTTAGTAGAGACAGGGTTTCACTATGTTGGCCAGGCTGGTCTTTAACTCTTGACCTCGTGATCTGCCTGCCTTGGCCTCCCAAACTGCTGGGATTACAGGCTTGAGCCACCGCGCCCAGTCAGAACCAATAAATTATTAAATGAATAACCAATGAGACAACTTCAGATACTTACTGTAATATGAGGAAACGTAAAAAGAATAAATGGTAGAGAGTCATGGCATTGAGAGTCATGGTTAGGTTAGACGAGCCTTTTTTGGAAATGTGACGTATGAATTGAGATCTAAAGACAAAAAAAACAAAAACAAAAAAAAAAACTACAAAACATAAAGAAAAGAAAGAAAATGAAAATCTTCCAAAATATTAGAAATGCCAAAAATAAGCAAAATAAATATATCATATATATGTTTATAGTCAATATAATATAAAATGTTAGAACCCAGACAAAATATCTAAGTTATGACAATATATAAATCGACTTATTTTTAACTTACTAAAGGCAAATATTTAGACTGGTTCACAAAACAGAAACAAAACTCCACATTGTATTGTCAGGTATGGCTTTAAAAAAGTAATTTGGAAAGTTTAAAATGAAAGGATGGAAAATACATTTCCAGGAAAAAATAGCAAAGGGTCACATTGTTGATAACACTAGTCGATTGATAACACTGCAAGGTGTTAATTCCACCTAAAAGTTATTTAACAAGATTAAGAAGAAAACACTATAATGCTTAAGAAATCTACAATTTATAATAAAGATTAAATAGGAACCTCAATAATAAAAAATATATCTGATTTTTAAGTGTTTGTGAAAACGTTCACCCAAATTGGTCTTCTATTAGATCACATAAAAGACCTCATTACATTCTGAAGAATAGATCAATGCAAATAATATTCCCTCAACACAGTTCAACTAACTAGAAAGGATCAAATATATTTACACTTGGAAATAAGCATTTAAATAATTAAATGTTAAATAATGAGTCAAAAGAGAAGCACAAACAAAATTTCAGCATTGCTAAAAACAATAATTAATACATCACATACCAGAATTTACAAGACGCAGCTAAAGCAATGCTTACAGAAAAATTTTACCAATCTTAATAAAAAGAAAATACTAGCGATATTTAAACAGTTTCAGAGCATAGAAAAGAAAAATGTTCAAATTTGTTTTATGGACTTAAATTTATGGACTTATTTAAATTAATAATTAAAAAAGGAAATTATAGGATAATAACACATTAATATGGATATCAACATCTTGAATAAAATATCAGCGAATGGAATATTACACCATTAATATATCACAATCAGATGTGGTGTACTCTTGGGATGCAAAAGTGCTTCATTTTTGGAATAAATGTTAATAAATATAAGAAGATGTATAATAATCTCTACAGGCATTTGACAAAATTAAACATCCATTTTTGACTAAATAGACATCCTCAATTTTATATATATATGTTCACATATTTGTGTTATATACTTTATACCAAAAGTCAGCAGACTGCTGCTCTTATTTTATAGCACCCAGGTTATTAACTTATGATCTATCTAGCCTTTAGCTGTAACTTCTTGTTTACAATATGTTAATAGAGGCAGGAGGCAGAGATATTCAAGGCAGACAGGGGTGGGTGTCCAGTGAAACCCTACCTTTAAACTAAAAAACAGAAACTGTGGCCAAAAGTGAGAACTTCTATTTCTGTTTGCTCACCCTCTCCTAATTGATTCTTTCTGACTAATGCCTTTCTATCAATGGGATGTTGTCTTTTCCAAAACTACCTACGGCCCACCCCACCCTCTTTCTGTGCCTGTAAGGACCCCAGATTCAGTCAGTAGAGCGGGAGATGGCTGGACTTCAAGGAGACATCTGGACTTTAGGGAAGAGATGGCCAGACTTCAGGGAAGAGACAGCCAGACTATGGAAGAGATGACCTGACTTTAAGGGAAGATGACCTGCTCATCCTGTCCCCTCTCCAGCTGCCCTCTCTGCTAAGAGACATTTCCATTGATTAATAAAACTCATTTGTCTGCATATTACCTCTGGCTGCTTTTTTATTAGGATAGCTGTGTTGAACAGTTGCAACAGAGACCCTATGGCTCACTGCAACCTAATAATAGTTATCATTTTTAGAGAAAGTTTGCAGATCTCTGTTAGAGGCTGTGCTAGGAGTTTTGTCTTTGTGAAAAAGTAATAGAATGCCATCTTTAGTGTGGAAAAGATGCCTCCTGCTATAACATGGTAAACTCATTGAACAATTAGTAGATTGATTATGAAGCAATGAGGCAGTAGTTCAGGTGAGAGGTGAAGATGTTTCAGGTGGTATCTCACTGGTTTTGATCAGAATTTCACTAGTGATTAGTGATGTTGAGCATTTTCATGTGCTTATTGGCCACTTGCATATCTACTTTGAAGAAATGTCTTCAGTTTCTCTGCTTATTTTTAAATTTTTTTTTTTTTGATGTTGAGGTGTAGGAGCCTTTTGTGTATTTTTGATATTTACTCCTTGTCAGATATATTATTTTCAAATATATTTCTCATTTTGTAGGTTACATTTTCACTCTGTTGATAGTGTCCTTTGATGCACAGAAGTTATTAAGAATAATATAGAATAATTTATCAATTTTTTCTTTTGTATCCTGATATTTTTCTATCATACAAAAGAAATCATGCCAAATCTAGTCTCATAAAGTTTTCCGCTATGTTTCCGTCTAAGAATTTTATGGGGTTTTTTTTGTTTGTTTGTTTGACAAAGTCTCGCTCTATCACTCAGGCTGGAGTGCAATGGTGTGATCCTGGTTCACTGCAACCTCTGCCTCCTGGGTTCAAACAATTCTCCTGCCTCAGTCTCCTGAGTAGTTAGGATTACATATGCATGCCACCACACTGGCTAATTTTTTTTTTTTGTATTTTTAGTAGAGATGGGGTTTCACCTTGTTGGTCAGGCTGGTCTCAAACTCCTTACCTTGTGATCTGCCCGCCTTGGCCTCCCAAAGTGCTGGGATTACAGGTGTGAGCCACCGCGCCTGACAGAATTTTGTTTTCATTTCTTCCGTTTAGGTTCTTCAATCCATTTTGAATTTTGATATATGATATAAGGTGAGGATCCACGTTCATTCTTTTGCATGTGAATATTCAGTTTTTCCAACACCATTTGCTGAAAAGACTGTCTTTTCCTCATTGAATTGTCCTGGCATGTTGGTCTAAAATCATTTGACTATATATTCAACAGTTTATTTCTGGACTCTATGTTTGATTCCATTGACTTACATATCTTTCTTATGCTAAATAGTACCATACTGCTTTGATTACTGTAGCTCTGTAATAAGTTGGGAAAGCAGGAAGTGTGGGATCTCCAATTTTGTTCTTTTCAATACTGCTTCATCTATTTAGGTCCCTTTAATCTCAAATGAATTTCAGGACGGATTTTTCTATTTATGTAAACAATACCATTGGGATTTTGAAAGAGATTACACTAAACCTGTGCATTAGTTTGGGTAGTATTGACATCTTATCAATATGAAATATTGATATCAAATATTCAAACAATATCAAATATTCCAATCCATGAACATGAGCTGTCTTTCCATTTCTTTGTGTCCTCTTTAATTTCTTTCAGCAACATTTTGTGGCTTTCAGCATACAAGTCAAATCTTTCACCTCATTGTTAGGTTTTGTCCTAAGTATTTCTCTTTTTTTGGTGCTATTGTAAACTGAATTTTAAAAAATTTCCTTTTCAGGTTGTTCTTTGTCAGTGTACAGAAACACAACTAATTTTTGCATGTTGATTTTATATCCTGCCACTGAGCTGATTTCATTCATTTGTTCTAACAGTTCCTTTTTGGTGGAATCTTTAGGGTTTTCTACATGCAAAATCATATCAGTGAACAGAGATAATTTTACTTTTTCCTTTCCAATTGGCTGCCTTTGATTTCTTTTTCTTGCCTAATTGCTCTGGTTAGGACTTCTAGCACTATGTTAAACAGAAGTGGCAAAATCAGACATTCTTGTCTTCTTTCTGATCTTGGATGAAACACCTTCAGTCTTTCACCAGTAAGTACAACACAGGCTATAGGCTTTTTACATATGACCTTATTGTGTTGAGGTAGTTTGCTTTTATTTCTAGTTTATTGAATAGTTTTTTATTTTTAATAAAAACATGTTGAATCTTATCAAGTGCATTTTCTATAGCAATCGAGATGATTATTAAGTTTTTGTCTGTCATTCCATTCATGTGGTAGATTACATTGTTTGATTTTGTGTATTGAAATATTGCTTCATTCCAGGGATAAATTCTAATTGGTCATCGTGTATATCTTAGTCCATTTGTGTTACTATAAAGGAATATTTGAGGCTAGGTAATTTATAAAGAAAATTTGGCTTAGGGTTTGGAAGGCTGTGTAAAATGCATAGTGCTGGCATCGGTTTCTAATGAGGGGTTCAGGCTGCTTCCACTCATAGAAAAAGGTGAAAGGAAGCAAGCATGTGCAGAGATCTCACATCCAGAAAAGAGGCATGATTGAGAGGAGAAAGAGGTATCAGGCTCTTTTTAACAATCAGCTCTTGTGGGAACTAGTAGAGCAAGAGTTCACTCATTCACAAAGATGGTATTAAATCATTCATGAAGAATCCACCTCCAAGACCCAAAGACCTCCCAACTAGGATTCACCTCCAACACTGGTGATTAAACTTCAATCTGAGATTTGGAGGGAATAAACAAACCAAATTATTGCAGTGTACAATCCTTTACCTACGCCATTGAATTCAGTTTGGTAATTTTTTTTTTTTTTTGAGACAGAGTCTCACTCTGTTTCCAGGCTGGAGTGCAGTGGCACAATCTTGGCTCACTGCAACCTCTGCCTCCAGGGTTCAAGCGATTCCCCTGCCTCAGCCTCCCAAGTAGCTGGGACTACAGGGGTGCTACCATGCCTGGCTATATTTTACTGAGAATTTCTGTGCAAGTGTTCATCAGGGCTACTGCTCTGTAATTTTCTTATAGCATCTTTGTCTGGTTTTATCATCAGGATCATGCTAGTCTCATATAATAAGTCTGGAAGTGTTCCTTCCTCTTCAGTTTCTGGAAGCATCTGAAGTTAATTCTTTAAATGTACAGTAGAATGCATCAGTAAAGACATCTAGTGCTGGGTTTTTCTTTGTTGGGAGAATTCTGATTATTGATTCAATCTCCTTACTAGTCATATGTCTGTTCAAATTTTCTTTTTCTTCATGATTCAGTCTTCATAGCTTGTATGTTTCTAGGAATTTAATCTAGATTATCTAATATTTTGGCATACAAATCATTCATATCCATTTGTAATACTTTCAATCTCCAATTTGCAGTCTTTGTTTAATTTGAGTCCTTAGTTGTCCAGTTTCATGTTGTGTATCATGGCTGGGCCAGTGACTCTTTCCCTGCCTGGCTCCATAGGATTTACCCCAGCCAGTGGGTCACACCCACACCCCTAAGAACCAGACCACCATCTGACCTACTATGGCCACTGTCATGAAGACGTTTTAGAATGAAGTGTTGTGGTAGTGATGGAGGAAAGTGGCTGGTCTGAGGTTTGTTTAAGAGGAAAAATAAAAGATTTAGTGATGAATTGGTTATGTGAAATGAAGGAGAAAAGAGGGTAGAGAAGACTTGTGATTTCTGGCTCATGCAACCAGAGAGAAAGCAATATCATCCACCGAGTTAGGGGATGCTTGCAGGAGGACCTGTGTTTTGCTTATTGATTTTCACCCTGGGGAGATTATGAGTTAAGTGTGGATGTATCACTTTTGAAGTTACTTTTAAATATCAGGAGAAGATACATATTAGACACTTGGATATATAATTCTGGCATTTAAAGAAGAATTCTAATTACATATACATCTTCTCCTATGGGTTATTAAAAATTTTAGAACCAACCCTAAGAGATAAATAAAGATGAAAGTCCAGGATCAGGATTATTCTGAAAATATTGGATATGAAGAGCTCTTCTCACTGGGATTCTCTCTCCCCCAAGATAAGGTGAATAAACTAGAGAATGACAGGAATCCTCTATGGGCAGGTATCAAATGAATACAGAAGAGCTGGAATAGGAAGGCATATTTCACTGATGATGGACTACTCCAAGAGAAAAAGAAATAGACAAGATGCAGGGCTATTCATGAACAGGAACGTTGAAACCAATTATCTCCCCCAATAGAGGAAGTTATCAGCACTGAGTCCCAGATTCTCATGAATTCCAAAAGGCAAGCTATTTCACTATCCAGGGGAGAAATGGTGAGGTAGAAGAAGGAGCCAGAAGTGCTTGTTCTGATATTGTTCTGTGCTGGGGAATAGAGACTGAAGTTCCATTTCCTTTACGGCAATGTGAGGCATGGGGGAAGGGCAAGGTTGAGTTGCTAAATATTTCCCTTTAATAAAATATACCAAAATTATATAAAGAACAAAGAACAGGTATTTGAGTTCAAAATTTTTTTATACGAGAAACTATCGAGCTGTTTATATAAAAGTAAATAATAATATAATTATATTTTTAATGAGTAAAGATGATGGTAAGTTAGTGAACATAAAAAGATACTATAAGAAGTCTCTAGCTGGCTGCCAAGAAGCAGCTTTCCAGGGCTTGGCCATTGTCATGAGAGAAAACCTGCAAGCCTGAACTTAACCAACAATAATAAAGCCTAAATGCCTTTATCTCTTGAAGATACTCACTCTGGTGAATAGCAGATTTAATATAATTGTTCTATCAGGAAATATTTTACAAGACTTTTTTAAGTACTGCAGTAAAACATTTCTACTCTTTGTTAGCTATTATTCAATACAGAACTACTATAGAACTAAATTTTGAGCTCTTATTACTATGCTGGTTAATTGCTGACTATATTTTCTGTGTGAAAATAATAGATATCTTGATTTAAAGTTAAACAGCCTTTTATATAAATAACATCTTTCTGTTAGTAATTCTAATGGGGAATTTTCTAATTTTAATTACTGCCTTTTAGTTGTTCATAAACTCAAAATGTATGCATATTTGTTGTTAAAACTC